ACAAAAAAAAAAAAAAAAAAAAAAAAAAAAAAAAAAGACAGTTTGAACTCAGACCCTGTCTCAAAGTGAAAAATAAAGGGCTAAGGATATAGCTTAATGCAAAGGACTTGGCTTCATGCCCAGTATATAATAAGTAAATAAATAGGCAAATACATAAAATATATGTCCCCAATTTCCAATACCTAGAGCACCTAGAGAAAAAATAAATGCAACTTCTGTGCAAGGTACAATGATGACCATCCTGTCTAACTCCTCATTTTAGCTACAAGGACCTTAAACGAATGCCTGGGGATACTTGCTTTGAGTATAACTGGTATTGAAGAGAAGTTGGTATGTGTTTGTGCATTAATCCCAAATCCGATAGCCCATGGCTGGTATCTTAGCCCACCAAAAGGTACATCAGCCAGTACATGCAGATGTGTGAGGTAGGTTGAGAAGGATGTCAGTGTATACGATGGATTTGTAGATTTGTTTCATGCAACAATCAGGCAAAAGAAATCCATGGCAATAAAAATCAGGAAATGGTTGTTTTGGGAGATTAATGGCAAGGAGTATAAGGAAACTTCCCGGAATAATAAAAATGTTTCATAATTCATTTAGAGTGGTAGCTACAGTGGGAAAACTGTCAAAACCAAAATGAAGAGTTAAGACCTGTACATACTTTATTGGATGAAAAATGAAAGTTAGCAAAAAATAAAACTAAGCTCCCTATGTATATCTGTGTGTGTCCCAGGTGTAAATGTGCAGGAGTGTGTGTGCCCGTATGTTTAGGTCTATGACTTTGGAGTGGGGTACGCTCGTGGGCTCCCACACACAATTCCAAACTTCACCCTGGCCCTCATGGCCACTAGCTAATCCTTTTCTCATCTTTCCTCGCATTACCTCAGTGGCTGCAACTGTATCCAAATCTTCTCAACCCAACTTGGCTCCCCATGGAGCAGCTTTTCTCCTTGCTAATTTCTGCCTGGGAAGATTAAGGCCACTGGGTATGAACTGCCTTCCCCAACCCACTGCTCCCTGGTACCCATCTGTGCTTTCTTCCACAGTCAAAGATAGACATCCTCTCCCATCTAATGCTTCTCCTGCCCGCCCCCCTTCTCTGTTAGTGTCTCAAAGCACTTGTTAGCATCTATCCCCTTTGTCAGCATCTATCTCTGATTTCAAACATTCACAAGTCTCAGCTTTCTTGGAATAATTCATGAAACAAGAAATCCTATATCAGCTTGGCCTGTGCTCACTGAAGCTTTGCAAATACCAAGGGTGATGCCAGCCCCAAGCCAGAAAAGCTCAAGTCAGGCTGGCTGGTAGCAAAGCAGGAGAGGCAGCTGCATTTGAAATGGCCTGTACCCCAAACTGCCTGTTTCTTGTAGTCTAGATGTGGACCAGGCAGGAAAGGCCAACTACAGGCCATCTAAAAATGAGTTAAGGGGGCCGGGAATTTAGCTCAGCAGTTCGGTGGCCTGCCTTGCAAGTTCAAGGACCCGAGTTCAATCCCCGCTATCAAAAAAAAAAAAATGACTTAAACCAAGAGGGCCACCTAAAGGGACAATGGATCCATGTCAGGTGGCGGAGGATTCCAGAAACCAAGGGCACAGGGAAGCATTGAAAGCCAAGACTGAGATACAACCATCTAGGTCAAGTGAGCTGCAAGTAAAAAGAGATCACAAAACCAATCCATGGGAGAATCAGCCACAGATCCATCAAGCTCAGATGGACCAACTAATGCCAGATGACAAAAGCACCTTTCTTGTGCCATCCATACTTACAACCTCACTCCACCAATAATGGATGGGTCAGAAGCCACACAGTCCACCAAGGGTAAGGTGGAGGATCAAAGAGAAAGGATAAGAAGTCAAACTCTCTCTCTTTACACACAGGCGCTTGTAGAAGGTTGGTGGGGGCGGGGCTTTAAGTTCAGAGTTTTGAGGATTTTGTTTTTTGCAGCACTGGGGATTGAACCCAGGGCCTTCACACTGAGCTACATTCCCCAGCCCCTTTTAAAAATTGAGACAAGAAAAAGAAATTAAGACAAGGACTTGCTAAGTTGCTTAAATTGGGCTCAAACTCATGATCCTCCTGCCTCAGCCTCCCAGAATGCTGAGATGGCAGGCATATGCCATCACACCCAGCAAGCTGTTTTTATTTTTTAATGTGAGCAGGACATTAGTCTCAGTAGGTCTGTCCTAGTAACTATATGTCATCCAAAGGCAAGTGAAGATTTAAAGAAAGATCAGAGATGAAAATGTAACTCTAATGTACAGTTGCATTCTGCTAGACTGAGGGCCGATTTGCTGTTTAATGCCAGTTATGCATGAAAAGCACCAAGCAGAGTGCCTGCCAGGTGTCAGTGCTTGATACAACAGCTGCAACTGCATACTAATCTTGAGGTTTGCAGTGGGAAGGTTTTGCAACAATTAAGTTGTCTTTGATAGCTTGGGTAGAAGACTTGGAAGGTAGTGAGTCCCTCCTCAGTGCAGATGCTGAGATGGCAGGGATGCAGAGCCCAACTGGGAGTGAGTTTGAGAATCTGATTCTAGTTTCTCTTCCCAAGCTCAACTCTCCCCCTCCGCAGGAATGACTTTCATCCAGCCCTTGCCTCTCTCCAGTTTCAAACTCACATTTCTTCTTGGAATAACTCCCCATCTGTCCATCTGCCCACTAATATTTCCTTTTCGTTTTTTGATACAAGGTCTTGCCACATTGCCCAGACTGGTCTCAAACTCCCAGACTCAAGTAATCTTCCTATATCAGCCTCCCAAGTGCTAGGAATACACTTAGCCTATGTATGTTTCTACTCACACTCCCAGTCCATCCCCATCTTAAAATGGAACTCTGCTTTTTCTCTAGCCATCCCTCTTTCTACACAACCCTCAACCTCCCTTTCTGAATAAATGTACTCCTCTAAGCCTGATTCTCCACATCCTTTTCTTTCATTCCTCAACCCTACATGAGTACTGGGGATTGAACCCAGGGCCTTCACAAAGAGCTACATTACCCAGTCCCTTTTAAAACCTGAGACTCTGTTCTACCCTGAGGCCTCTTCCCACTAGCACCACCTTCTCCATTTCTATAGCCACCACCACCTCACAGAATAGTCTCCTAAACAATCAGCCTGCTCCCTGTTTTTTAACCCATGGAATCCTTAGCATTCGAGGTCAAATTCCCCTCAAACATAGTCCTAGTGCCCTCATAAAAGCCTCTCACAGACACTTGCTTTCCAAAGAATAAAACAGAAACTAATCAGTTAACATTCAGAGGCCCTGAACAACCTGGATTTTCTGACCTCATCAAAAACCAATGAACTAGGACAACCTACTTTTTGGATCCCCTTCTGTCTCTCTTAGAAGCTATCTTCTCTCAATAAATTCTTCCTACTGTTTTAAGCAAACAACTGAACACTCCCAAAATTCACTGAGGCCTATTCTGGGACCAGTCACATGTTGCCAAATAAAGTCACAGAGATGAAAATCATAGTTCCTGATCCCAAGGTGATCTCAGTTCTAGTGGCAAGATGATGTGTAAACAATTATCAGAGAACAGTGATAAGGCTGAGGAGATTATTTGTCTTATGTCCACATGTCAACAGAAATGATTTGTCCCCTAAACATAGGCCCATAGTTTCCTTAGGATTTTTCTTTGGGCTCTTTTCTCCTCTTTCCCTTCCCTTTGCCTGTACACTTCCCATTGTTAAAGACCCATGTGATAATCTCCCTTTGAGGCAAGGGATCTAGTCCTCTTCCAGAGTTGAATGTTCCCACTGGATCCCACCTACTGTCCCCGAGATGTCTCAGCTCAGATGGCTTGTCTTCTGGAAGGCCCTCTCCTACAGCCACCACCCATATTCTGGGCTACATGCAGCTCCTATGCTCCCACAGTACTGCAAAAATTCTCCCACTGTATCCCTTATCACTCTTGCAATTTACCTGCCTCTCTTACTAGGCTCCGAGCTCCCTGAAAGCAGAATATGTGTAGATCTTGTTCACAGGTGAAAAACTCAAGCCCAAGACTGAACTGGCACATCTTATGGGCTCACCAAACAAGCAGGAGGGAGGGAGGAAAGGTAAGGCAGCCATGGTGAGCTCCCTTCTGTTGACACGTTCTTTAGAGTTTAATGCTATTATTTCTACTCTTGCTTCCTCAAGCATTGTCCAGGCAGACCAAGTCACTGGCCCAGATAGGTTTTACATTCCTCTATCCACGCAGCTACATGTGGCACAATAATCTGCCCCACCTGACTAAACATTTTGAGGGAAATGATCGTTTTGGGGTATCTCTGTACACTCTGAAAATAGTGGGGGCGGGGGATAACCTTATGATAAACTTTAAGAACCTTTAAGAAGCTAAATGATAAACTCCTCTTAAGCAGGAATCCTAACTCTACCTTCTGTTTAGGTAGACTCTGAGCAAATCCGCATAAGCTCAGTCACGGTGTCTACTATAAATTACAAACAGTGGGACCGTGTTTGCACCACAAGTAGGTGAGGGACTAGATGACAGGGCAAGTTATCACCTCTGTAGGTCCTTCCTCCCTCTTAACAGAGGACTGTGGTCCTGTACAGCTCGTGGAACGGGGCCAGGCTCCAAGTCAGTGACAGTGCTCGCTATCACGGTGTTAGCGTCCCGCTAATTGTAACATAAGGAACTGCGGAACTTGAGTGAGGAAGGCACTGGCGGGTGCCCGGAAAAAAAATTGATATGCACCCCACTCCGGGACTCGCAGTATCTCTTCCCCCACCCCTCTTTGTGGAGCTCTGAGTCCCCGCCCGCCTCGCACCAGGGGCAGGAGGTGGGTTCGGCTGAGGTAAGGGGGCTCAGGTCCTGGACACATTCAGCCTGAACAGCGGCGCGACCTCGGCTGAGCTCGCCGTCAGGGTTTCGTCGGTCTTAAGCCCCACCTGCAACGTGGCTCCAATGTGCTTCGAGCCTATTACCAGTCCTCTTCCACCTCTCCGACACCAACGCTCCCTCCCACTGTGACCAAGGTTCCCCTACCCCGACCCTGAAGCAATATCCAACCTAGACAAACACCGTGGTTGCCAGGAGCGTTCCCTCTCTCCGCTTCCTCCCCCACAGCACGGAAGTGGACGCGATATCGCGAGACCCGGTAGTGGGCGGGCAGAAGCCGCGCTACTCTCGCGAGTCCAAGCGGTGAACAGCGGGGCAGCCCTGTGCAGTGTGGAGGTCGTTGGAGTCACTTGTTATCGGCCAGTTCCTGCACCTGCGGGTCCGCTCCCTGCCCGCTCTAGCCATGCTGTCTGTGTTCGCCCGGCCCGCCTGCGCCGCTCTCCGCCGCGGCTTCAGCACCTCAACGCAGGTAGGCTCGCGAGGGGTCCGGGCCGCGTGCGTCCCAGGCTCGCCCGCTCCTCTGACCCCTTGGCCAGCCTGGACTTGGACTGCACGGCCACCGGCACTGGCTGAAAGGCTGGCGCAATAGTTCAACCTTGACCCCCAGGCGGGCAGTGTGGAGGAAAAAGCCTGAGAGAGGAGCTAAATGGCCCAGCTTCCAAGGGAGTCCATTTAGCAGAGACTTTTCCGTTCACCCCAGGACCCTAGGAAGGCCTGCGCTTGCCCTGCACCCCTTCAAGGTTGAGAGGCCAGGGCTTCCAGGTTTGGAAGTAACTTAGGTCTTTATGCAAATTTCCATTGCTTTGTCATAACTAATCTTGCTCTTCTTGCAGCGTCCGTGAATTTTGCGTGAACAGGAGAAAGCATGTGTAATTTTAACTCCACAGAACAGGCAGACTGTATCAGTTACACAGTTATCTGGCCAGAGGATTAAAACTCAGCCTCCTGGCCTCTGTCAGTGAATCTTCCTACCCTCTAAGAGTTCGAACGTTCTGTTTCTTAAGAACCTTTTGAAGGGTCCACTGTCCTGTGAGCAGACTTGAGACTTCCCTGACCTGTTTTAATGGCGCGTGACTTGGCCATTTAAGGGACCCTTTAAGCTTAAGCTATTTTTAGCCATCTAGGAAAATGGTTCTCAAACCTGGTGTGTATCAGAACCATCCGAAACCAGGTAAATACAGAGGCCCAAACTTGTTGCTGGAAGACAAGACATGGGCCTCTGTATTTTCATCAAGTGCTTCCCATAGAACAGAAGTTTAAGAACCCAGGAGATTTCTGCATTAAATATCACATCCAAAGGGGAGGTGATTAAAAAGAGATTCCAAGTTTCATATTTAGGTTATGTCTTTCATTTTCCTGCACAATCAGTTCATAAAGAAAATAAAGTTACAGTTAAGAATATTGAGTACTGTATACTTTGCCAGTTGTGCTGGGTGCTGCAGGGGATTCTAAGATGAGTAAGAAGTGGCACCTGAGATGGGCCAAAAATGAGTTCTCTTAGGACAGGGAGAATTGGTGAAGATTGATGCTGAGGAGTAAAGAAAGACCAGGAGGAATGAAGTGTGGGTAGGGGGAGTGGTTGGGGTTTTTGTTTGCTGTGCTCGTATTGAACACAGGGCCTTGCACATCACCAGCTAGGACTCCAACCCAGAGGGATCACATTGCGATAGAGCCTTCGTGTATTCAACATACTTGTTGATGCTAGGCACTGGAAATAGTATAGTGAACAAAATGCAAAGTTCTTCTGACCTTTACCCTGTATTTTATTATTGTTCAATTACCCTTGTTATAAAGTATCAGCAATGAGTACAGAACAAAGTAAGGGAGGAGAGGTTGACAAGGAAACGATTTGCAGCTTTAGGTCAGCCAGTATATGTGACATTTGAGTGCAGCCCAGAAGGAAGCAGAGAGCATATCATATAGTGGTCCTGCCAGGGGACATCCAGGGTAGGGGCCCTGAGGACACCTGGAATGTTTGAGAATACCAAGAGGCCCCTGTAGTTCTAGAGAGGGCAGTGGCAGGAATGATGCACAAGGCCTTATAAAACTAGCATTTTCCCAGAAATGGGGCAGCCATCTGAGTTTTTTGAGCAAAGTAATAACTTCATCGTATTCTCAGTTTAATCAAATTGTCTTAGGTGGGGAAGAAAGGCGATTAAGAGTGGTGGTCTGGGTAATAGCTGTGGAGGTAGTAAAAAGTTACTGCATTCTGGATATTTTTTGACTATAGAGCCGTCAGGATTTGGTGATTTGATTAGATTAAAAGTAGGAGAGAGTGCAGAGTCAGGGATGACACCAAGGCTTGTGGCCTTGAGTTGGTATTTGCCAAGATGGGCAGAGGCTCCTGAAAGAGCAGGTCTGGGCAGGATAAAGATTCTGGAGCTTGGTTTTAGATGTGTTAAGTTCAAGATGCCAGTTGAGTATCCAAGTGGAGATATTGAGGAGGGAGCTAAATAAGTCAGAAAAGTAGACTTGAACCAACAATGCATTGGCCTCCAGGCCTTGGATTGCATATCCTCAACAATAAAAATGTGTAGAGCTCACCATCCCAGTAGATCTACTTCCACATATGTACTAGTACATGCATCATAATAGAATCACAGAAACATTTAGAAACAAACCATAACAGACTTACTTTTTTTGTTTTGTTTTGTTTTTTTGGTAATGGGGATAGAACTCAGGTCCTTGTGCTTGCAAGGCAGGTGGTGGAGCCACTGAGCTAAATCACCGGCCAGACTTACATTTTAAAGCAGCCGGGTTGTTGAAGAATTACTGTATATCCATTTTCAGAACAGTTGCTAAGCAGTGTGCCATTCCTCAGCCCAGTAAAGGTCAGCAGGTTTGGAAGACAGCTCTTTTCCAAAGACTTCAGGAACTAACCATTGTAAGCCCAAAGATTTTCCTTGTATTTAAAGGCACTGTAGAGAACCTGCTAGTGAAGATCATGTTTTTGCCACTATAAATTAAGTTGATAACTTAAGCAAACAAGAACTTTACCTCAACCCAGGGAAAGCAAAAAAATTGAGAAAGTTACCTCCCTTCTCCACCCCAGTTATGCTCACTTCATGTACTGTGTGGGACTGATTTACTTAAGAACCCTTGTGAGAGCACAAGTCTGTTACTTAGTAGAATTTAATTCTTTGTTAGACAAAAATAAAAACACAAATTTTGATCTTTTCATCCTTTTCCCTTCTTGAGGTTGTCTTGTGCTACCCACCTTGGAACTGCTATTCTGGTCAGCCTTGGAAGCCAGGCCAGTACGTGGCATGGGAGGAGCTTCTGTAGCTTCTGTGCAGGGGAGTGAATGAAGGAGGCTTAGAGTGTTAGTGATGACCCAGAGGTGGATCAGATACCTAACTAGAGGACAGAATGGGGATAGACAGGAAGAGCAGCTTGGGGTGATGTATGAGATGCCACTTCCTTCTTGTCCTGATTGGATGGCTCTGATGTGGGAGAAGGACGAAGTAGAAGATGATTCTAGAAGGCCAATATCAGCTGAATAGAAATGGTACTTGGTGAGAGGTAGGGATAGAAGGGACAGATGGACTTTTGAGTATGTGGGACCACTGGAATACTTAGCAGAACTGGTGTTGGAGGGCTGGAGTCTGGGAATTCCTAAGATGGGAGACAAGGTTTGGGAGTAATAACAGAAGACCAGACTGGGTGAGATTGCCAGACCTTGGGATTGGGTTGGTTCAGCTAGTTAAGATTTCTGGGAAGTCAGGGGTCCACCTTTGAAGCAACACTTAAAAGCAAGAAAGCTAGTCAACGGTGGCAGCCCACACATGTAATCCCAGCTACTTGGGACGCCAAGGCTGGAAGATAGCTTGAGTTTAGGAGTTTGAGACCAGCCTGGGCAACATAGTAAGACCCATTTTTTTTTTTTTTTTTTTTTAAGGGCTTAGTCAATGGTAGGGAAAGTTGTGTGAGACACTGGGTTTGATCCCCATCATCACACACAGAAAACATCATAGAACCTCTTTGAATTCAAATTTGGATTGGTTTTGGTTTTTGATAGTCAAAGGCTATCATTACCTAGGCATTGGTTATTATAGAGTGTACAGTCAGCCCTCCATATCTGCAGGTTCCCTGTTCACAGATCCAACCTCAGATTGAAATTTCAGAAGGGAAAGAAAGTATTATGTGTGTACTGAACGTGTACTACCTTTTTTTGTCATTCCCTAAATGGTACAATATAATAGCTATTTTCCTAGCACATAGATTGTATTTGGTATTATAAGTCACTCAGAGGTGACTTAAAGTACATAGGGAAATATGAAACTATGATGGGATTTTGGTATGGGAGTGCCCTGGAGCTGGCAGCTGTGCTTCTCTTCCAGCCCTTTTTCCCTCCCTCCATTAGATCACCTTACCAAAAAAGTAACTGGCAGGGGTCTTCACTCTTGCCACCCCTCATGTCTGTTGCTAGGGTCTCAGTTTGTTTAGAGTTTTTAACACTGCAGATTGAAGGTAAGGTTGTTATCAGTCCGACTGCCTGACTGATCACAGCAGCTCTTTTTCTACCTTCCCAGAAGAATGTTCGGAATTTGAGCCTGAGAGCTATCATAACATCTCTAGACAGAAGTGCTCCCCATTTGAAACGGGGCCTTTGAATTCTACCAGGATGAAACTGGTAGAAATATGACTGTGTCTAGCTTTGGCATCATTTTATTATTTTAGTATATGTGCTGCCGAAGCAAGCACTGGCATCACTTTAATAAAAGAAGCCCAGTGCCATATTTCACAGAACCGTTTTAGTGCTGATTCGGTCCTGAAAGTCATTTTTCTCGGCCTCTTTGCAGAACAATGCTAAAGTAGCTGTACTCGGAGCTTCTGGAGGAATCGGGCAGCCCCTGTCACTCCTGCTGAAGAACAGCCCCTTAGTGAGCCACCTGACCCTCTATGATATTGCGCACACACCTGGGGTGGCCGCGGATCTGAGCCACATTGAGACCAGAGCCACTGTGAAAGGTACTGGGCAGCCCTCCCTGGAAACGCCACTGTCTCTCCTGCAGATCCAAGTTGGGGAACAAGACCCTAGATAAAGCTAGATGTGTACACACCTGGGGGTTCTATATTCATTTCAGACTTAGATTTTACACACAATTTACATTTTGGACTTGGGTCTATGAAAATTTAAACAGCCGTGACTCAGAAAAACAAGACAGCGGATGGGGGATTCAGCTCAGTGGTTGTACCACCTGCCTCGCAAAAAGAAGGACCCGAGTTGGATCTCCGGTACCAAAAAAAAAAAAAAAGGAAAAGAAAAACAAGGTGGTCTAATGTTGCCAATTTTTACTCTCGCTAATTTGAAAAGTAGTATGAGGATGAGGAAGGGGAAGGGTCAGAGGTCCCTTGGGGGCAACAGATGGGGCTGCTCCTAGTGAGCCACAGGCTGCCTTTTGTCCACCCCAGTGCTCCCCTGGCCAGTGACGCCTTACAAGATCCACACTGCCTCATAGGAAAGTCATTCGAGGTTGCATATAATCACCTATCCTGCTTATTTGACCTTTACAACATAGTAACGTTTGTTCATGTCACCAAATTCATTCTTAAAATCATTTTTAAAGCTGATCTATAACTTTGTCGCCTATTTATTAGACCCTACTCTTGGCCATACTTGGCCTACTCTTGTTTATAAATTGTGATAAATATCTTTACATCTTACTTCTTAGAGTACTAAAAGTAGAATCGGTGGGTGTAAATATGTCAAAGCTTACTATAAAGTACCAGTAGCTGTGCAGGCAAGTTATAATTGTGCCGTCCCCCTGCTAACAGTGGGCAAGAAGACTGCATTCAGCCTTCCGCTGCTGTACATGGCTGGAGGTTGGCAGGCACGTTCGTGAGCCTTCCATGTTTCCTCTGACTTCACTTGTCCCTTTTCTGCGAGCTGGATGTGTGAGTTTCTCTGAGCACTTACAATAAGGAAAAAGTTAAAATCAGCAGATTTTGGACTTTGTAACAAATTTCCCTGCAGTCTTCCAAAGCATACTTTTGTCCCCAAGTAATAGGAATAAACAAAATCAATACCGATGCTTAGAATCCCTGATGATCGGCCCGGGACATCTTCACTTGTGGCCGTCAGTTGTGCTCTCTGTTTTGCTCTGACACCCACCCTAAGGGGTTTTATGAGGGCACCATTCTAACAAGGCCAGGCGTGATGTGGACCAGCGCATGCTGGGTTTGGTTTTGTAGAAACTGATGCATCCAATCTGAGGGGGGCTGCTCTTGCCACCCATTCTGTGGTGGCCGCTGTCACTTCACAGATCGGGCCCTGTAGCCCTTGCTAAGGCCAAGTGTGGGGTGTGCTTCCCAGGCTTTGTCCCTGAAAGGTGGATCCGAAACAATGTGATGTCTCTTGTTGGTGCTTTTCCTAGGCTACCTCGGACCCGAGCAGCTGCCAGACTGCCTGAAAGGTTGTGACGTTGTGGTCATTCCAGCTGGAGTCCCCAGAAAACCAGGTATGTGTTCCAAAGCCTTGCCTAGGACCTTCCTCCATGCTGGCTGAGAAAGAGGCTTTCTTTTCAAAGTGAACTTAATCCAGTCCCTCTGGTCCAGAAACCATGAGGGGCTCCCCTTGTCTGGGGGTCTGGGATCATGCTCAGAGTGGTATTTAAAGCCCAGCAGTGTCTGCTGTGCTCTTCTGAGCCCCAGTGTCTTGCTGTTCCCCATTGTACCTGGAACGCTCTTTCCTAAACCCAGCTCCACCCTGGGATTCCTGTTATTTCCATCTGATCTTCTCAGCCATCACCTTCCCAGCTGCCCTCCCCACTCCCCTACAGACTCTGTTCTGGCACTCGCCACCCTGGGTGGTTTTCCTGCAGGCAGTTGTCTAAAAAGGGAGCCTTGTTGCTCCTATTTAATTCCCATAGTAGTGAACACCCAGCCCTCAGCAGCTATTTGGAAGTCCTTGATGTTCTTCATGAACATCTTGTGCTGGATCGTTTCAGGCATGACACGGGATGACCTGTTCAACACCAACGCCACGATTGTGGCCACCCTGACTGCTGCCTGTGCCCAGCATTGTCCCGAAGCCATGATCTGCATCATTGCCAACCCGGTGAGTGCAGGCGGTAGGTGGTGCTGTGCTTGGCACTCCTAATTGGCAGCGGGAGCATATCACTGCGCTTGTGGGAAAGAAGCAGATCTCTGTGTGGGTGGGCATATTGGGTGCACTGAGAGGAGGTCCTGAAACGTACTTCTGCTCTATGAGAGTCTGAATGTAGATCTTCACTGACTGTGTGTCTGGGACAGCTCACCTCCCATCTGTCTAGTCTTCCTACCTGGAAAAGCATTCGTTCTCAAGGACCCTTCTAGCTCTGATCATGGCAGCCTATGGGCTCCTTTCTTTATTATAGTCTACTTGGGGTTTGCAGTTTTCTGGGCTCCTGTCATCCCGTCTCCTCACATTGATAATACATACACACCCTAAACCTGCTCAGACACATGCTGGGCCACATGAGAGGACAGCCGTGGTCCCTGGGCCTGAGCTGTAGGACTGCAGGTTGCGTTTAACAGCTGTCCTCTGCTTCCTGGCTTCCTGGATGTTTCTGGGTCCTGGTGTCTGAATACAGTAAGGATCTGTTGAAGACATCAGTGACAGTGACAGTGACAGAGGGAGGAGGCTGCTGATACATGCCCAGAGCTTCTGGCCTCAGACAGCTTCTGCTCCTCACCTTCTTTGGGTAGATGATAAAAGTCAATAGTAGCAATTCCTTTTCTTGGGAACTAGCAGGTGCCTGGTCTGACCCTTGCTGTGTTAGTTCACGTTATTATTTTCTGTGTACCAGGTAACGTGTTAAGCACTTACCCAGTGTTAAGTCATTTAGTCTTCACAGTAGCCTAATTACCTTCACAGTAAGGTAGTTGCCATTTTCAGGTACAGGGGAGTTGAGGTGTCTTGACCAGGGTACAACACAGAAGGTCAGAGCTAGGATTTGACCCTGCTTTATCTGCCTTTAGTAAGACCCAGCCAAACGGAAGGGGCCCCAGAGCCATCTAAGATGATGGCTGACAGCCATCTCGGGAGTAAGGGTCCCCTGCAGTAAGAGGGCGTGCCTGTCCTGTCTTGGAGTTGGTTTCCTTTAACCAAAGTTGTCAGGGCAGTTTAATTTAGCACCTCCAGACTCATCAGTGGTCTGACAAAAAGATGTTTTCCTTCTGTCCCTTGGCTCTGTCTCAGAACACAGGGTACATCATACCTGTCCCTTGGATTTGCTAGGTTAACTCCACCATCCCCATCACAGCGGAAGTTTTCAAGAAACATGGAGTGTACAACCCCAACAAGATCTTCGGTGTGACAACCCTGGACATTGTCAGAGCCAACACTTTTGTGGCAGAGCTGAAGGTGAGGAGTGTGTTGGTGTTTGGGTCATCTTTTTTAACCTCTTCATCCACCCTTGCTTTTTTAAGAGCACAGAAAATAACAGGGCCCTTAGACCTGAGAATATAAATGTTTTTAAGCCAGGAGTGGTGGCACAGCACTTTGGGAGGCTGAGGCAGAAAGATCACAAGTTTGAGTCCCACCTGGGCAACTTAGTGTCTCAAAAAAATTTAAAAAATAAATAACAAATTAAAGGGGAGCCTAGGGATTTAAATCCTCACTGCATGCATGCGTAAAAATATTGTTAAGCCAGAGGTTAACTCAGTGACACCAGCACCTACCTGGCAAGCGCAAGGTCCTGAGTTCAATCCCTGGTTCTGAAAAATAAATAAATAAATATAGGTAGATAGATACATAGATAGTTGTAGTTTGCACCTCAGGGGAAAGCAGCTCCCACTGTTAGGAGGGATCCATGCAGCAGATCCCTGTGGGTTCAGATTACCCACAGGCTGTCTCATTCAGCTCCCTGTGCCTTTGACCTCTTCTGAGTTGCATCTGGGCTCAGACTCTCTGGGTTTCTTCGTGGCCATACATGGATCATGCTCCCCTGTCTCCCCCAGTCTCAGTTCCCCTGGAAATGGACTACCAGGATTTACCTGCTGGTCTGTAGACAAAGGGTGACAGAGTCAGCACACATGACGAACTCAGAAAAGTTCCACAAATGCTAAGATGTCTGTGGCCTCTAGCTCTGGCTCCCTTTCCTGGGTCATCTGTGGTGGCTCTCCTTGAGGGGTCCAGTCCAGCCAGCGGCCTGACATCGTGGCCACTTATCTGAACCAACCGGCTTGCCTAAGGTGGCTTTGGTTTGGTGCTAGCACTCAATTTGGAAAGTCATCTTGGATGTGGATCCAGCAGACCCACTTCATCTGGGACCCAAAAGTGTCCCGTTGAGCCTCAGGACATTTTGCTCTGATTTTGCAGATTAAGAGGACCTCAGGAGCTGGGTGTGGTGGCACACACCTGTAATCTCAGCACGTGGGAGGCTGAGGCAGGAGGATCACTGTGAGTTTGAGACCAGCGTGGGCTACATAGTGAGTTCCAGGTCAGTCTCAACTACATAGTGAGACCCTGTCTCAAAAAAACAAGAGAGAGAGAGAGAGAGGACCTCAGAAGCAGGGAATATCTTGACATAGCCTGGTGGCAGGTGCACACAGGAGTGTTGGCCCACACCTTACTTCTTTTGTCAGAGATGCACTTTAATTCACTCTGCAGCTTGGGTATAAGGGCCTGTTCTAGATGCTGAGGTCACAGAGATCCATAGATGTGGCCCCAGGGCTTGGGGGCTCTTAAGTAGTGAAGGGGCAAGAGACACTTGAATTCAAGATATAGTGGATTGTGCACATATGGCCAGAATGTGGTAGAATCCTTGGGGAAGGACACAGGAGCAGCTGAACCTGGAAGTGGACCGGCAAGAGGGAGGGGGCACCAGTGCTCTTCTGCAGCTCTTTGGGGAAGGTAGCATGGCCTTGGGAGCTGCTCACCTCCATGTCACCACCCACCCCACACACACTCCAGATTCTGTTTTGTCTGTTTTTAGAAATATGTGGTTCACAGATTCTTGGGAACGTTGTGTCTCTAGTTACCAAGTGAGTCAGCCCCTATCGAGCCATGGCGTTTTGATCACAGTCAGTTTCGATCTTTCCATCCCAGTGAGTTGGAGTTGCTAGACTTGTCATCCCTGCATTTCCTGGAGAAATTTGACTGTTCTCCCTGAAATGAGGGAAAACAAGTTGAACTTGTTGTCAGTGACAGAGTGTGGGGACCTGAGTCTGGGCTACCTGGCGAATGACATGTCTGGGAATGAGCACAGTCCCAGCTCACTGAGGAGGGGCCTGTGGTGACTTCCCCAGGCAGCAGGCTGGCCTGCAGCTGCTCACAGTGACCACTGCCCTGTGGGGGCTGGACATTGAGCATGGCTGGGGCTGGACAGCATCTCCTCCTGATTCCTCGGTTTCTTTCCGGGTTCTGTGGGTTTTCTGGGTATTGGTGCTTGAGGTAGATGTGGCATGTTTTCTGTAAGGGAGCTTGTCGTCTGTTAATCAAGCTGCGCACTTTGATGAGCAGGGTTTGGATCCAGCTCGGGTCAACGTTCCTGTCATTGGTGGCCACGCTGGGAAGACCATCATTCCCCTGATCTCCCAGGTATGTGAGCGGGACACTGCAGGAAGCCCTAAGGTCCTGAGCACCTTCCCAAGGCTTCCAAAGAATAGCAGGGATGTATGGCGGCTGCCACCCCACCCCAGCCGTCTAGGGCTTTCCTGACTGTGACCTGCGGGGCTGTGCTGAGTGAGAACGGCCGGCTCACCACATAATCAAAGCCATGTAGGCACTGTCTCTGGGTTGGGTCAGGTCAGAGTGGGCAGAGGTGCTTTGGGAAACAAGTTTAGCACCAGGATTGCAATCTGTCACAGCCTCAAATCCCTGAAAACAGTGCAGTGTGAGAGGAACACCATGCTATTCAATGCTTTTGCCAAAATGCCTAACCTTAAAAGAAATCACGAAGAGGGCCACTGATTTATCTCAGTGGTTCCACCACCTGCCTCCCAAGTGCAAGGTCCTGAATTCGATCCCTGGTACCGAAAAGAAAAAGGAAAGAAATCACAAAGAAACATCACATGTCCAGATAAAACATTCTGCAAATTTAGTGGTCAGGAGAAGCTGAGGAACTGTGATTGGCAGATGCGAGGCCGGCTGTGGAACAGGAAAGGGTACTGGTCGAGACATAGGGGAGATGGGAACGCGGCCTGTGGCATAGATGATGGTACGCTGACATTCGTCTCCTGATACTGTGGAAATCTGTGTTTTGTTTTCAACTTTCCTCTGAAATTAGGCCAAAATATGAAAAGTTCTTTAAAAGTGAAGGACCAGGATATAGCTCAGTGGTGTACCACCTGCTGGCAAGCACAGAGTCCTGAGTTCAGTCCCCAGTACCAGAGAAAAAAATGAGTAAAGGCTTTGTCTTTGTCCTTTCTCTGTAAAAAGGAGGTCTTGGTTTCCTGGCATGTGTAGGAGCCCACTGTGAGGACAGGGACGGTTGGGGATGGGGACTCTGCTCAGAGGCCAGCCTGAAGCTGCTCACGTGACCACTTCTTGGCTTGCAGTGCACCCCCAAAGTGGACTTTCCCCAAGACCAGCTGGCAACACTCAGCGGGCGGATCCAGGAGGCTGGCACAGAGGTGGTGAAGGCCAAGGCTGGAGCAGGTAGAGTTGAGGGGCAGTGCCAGGGGTGTAGGCCAACACCTGAGGCCCTGGGAGTGGCAGAGAAAGACTCCTGTCCCTGGGCAAGGAGCGGTGCTTTTCTGCATTGCATTTGCCCTCACGTGATAAGGCTCCATAGAAGATAGCAGCTCACATGCCTATGAGCTTGTGATCCCCGTACTCAGGAGGCTGAGGCAAGAGGATTGCCACAAGTTCAAGGCCATCCTGGGCTGTGTAGTGAGTTCAAGACCAGGCTGAATGAACTGCATAGTGAGATGCTGTCTCAAAAAAGAAAAAGAAAGCATCTCAGCTTGCTGTGGTGGTGATTCAAATCAGCACAGCGCCATTCAAGAGTAAATTTCAGGGATGCTGACCAAACTTCTCCATGGTGAGTTGGGTGGTCTGCAGGTTCTTCAGCCTCCGAATGGGAGTTCCCTGGTTTTGGGGGCTCTGCTGCACAGCCATGCTAACCCACTTTGCTCCCTAGGCTCTGCCACCCTGTCCATGGCATACGCCGGTGCCCGCTTTGTCTTCTCCATTGTGGACGCGATGAACGGGAAGGAAGGAGTTGTCGAGTGCTCCTTTGTTCAGTCAAAGGAAACAGAGTGCACCTACTTCTCCACACCCTTGCTGCTGGGGGTACGTAAGATACGGGAGGGGAGGCATCTGGCCCCTGGCTCTTCAGTGCAGGCTCGCAAGGGGACATGTATTGTTTGTTCCTGACATCAATCACCTGCTTGCTTACATTTGATTCAGGTGAATGTTAAACTGTTCCTTCAGTCTTTGACCACCCTGGGGAGGAGACTAGAACCCAGAAGTGTGTGCTATCGTGTTAAGGGTTACTGATCAGCAGCACTGTCTGGGCTGGGGCCTGTCTGTGCCAGGTTTCCTCCCTCGTGGCCACAGCCTGCTGGGGGTTGGAGGGAAGGCTTGCTGTGTAGATAAGGAAACAAATCGGGACTGTAGAGGTAATTGTCCAAAGTACATTCACAGTGAACGACAGAGCCAGGGCCATACCTTGGATGGTCTGACCAGTCTCCGAGCCTGGGCTCAGACCCGCCATCCGGGCTCATTGCGGCCAGAGCCTGTGAGTGTGTGAGGCTTCTGTAGCACTCTCATTCTTGGAAGCTTCATCTTCTGACGGCACTGCCTCCCCTCTGTCCCCCAGAAAAATGGCCTGGAGAAGAACCTGGGCATCGGCAAGATCTCCGCCTTCGAAGAGAAGATGATTGCTGAAGCCATTCCTGAGCTGAAAGCCTCCATCAAGAAAGGGGAAGACTTTGTCAAGAGCATGAAATGAGGCGCAGTCTATGAACAGCCAGGTTCTTAACTTATGAAGGCCTCATGTCACTTGTCGAGCCATTTCAGAAACCTTTGTATTTTAATTTGCTTTGATGAGATGGGTATTGTATCAACATTATTACCATCTTTCCAACTGTTGGCACGACAATAAAAGTAAACTGATTTTCTTTTTCAAGGTCCCCTCAATAGATGTGCTTTCTTCCCCGACAGAGCTGACTTTGGATTGGCTGTCACCTTTCACTACAGATTGGAACAAGGTGTTATTTAAATATTAGAGGCATCAATAGCTTCAAGAAAATCTAAACCCCTTATTTCTGAAATAGCATAAAATGCAGTCTGTCAGTCCCTGCTCCTCCCAGCCCTGGTTTTTGTACCTTTAATGTCCCCGTGTGTGGTCTGATAAGGTCGACTCCCCACCCAATTCCCTGGTGTTCTTTCACCCTCACAGGTGCTGAGTTCAGCAGCTAATCCAGGCACCGTTTCCTGCTGGGCCGGTAGCACAGTCTTCTGCACAAGCTGCCCCTGGTACCCCCTCCCTCTCTTCTGACAGCCCATAGCCTGAGCTGCCAAAAAGCGGGGTGGGATGAGGGAGGGGCAAAGAAAGCACCAGCAGCTGCCTCAAGATTGAGGACATCAGGCTAGCTGTCCCCATAAAATGGGGGTTTCAGATTTGCTTCAAGGTTTAAAGGAAGGACTTCGTAGGGACATTGGGGTTTCCTTCAGTGCTGGAGCAAGTCAAGTCCCCAGAAGCTGTGGCCTCTGAAGCAGGAGCAAAGCTCTGGTCCTGAGATGGAACCTGCATCAGGTGTGGTAGGGTGTGCCTGTGGTGGACACCCATTCACCCCAGCAGTCTTCAGGGTCTTTTTTTTTTTGGTACCAGGGATGGAACTCGGTCCTTGAATTTGTGAGGCAGGCAGCCACTGAGCTAAATCCCCGGCCCTAGGGTCTTTTTAAAACTAAAATTGAAGGAGATTTTATGCAGTGTGACAATTGTTTCCTTAAGTGATACATGCTCATTTCATAAAAACTGAGAAGTAGCTGAAAACAAAGCAGAAAGGTAATCACTGATAGTAATTATTCCTCTTCGCTTTATGTAGTTTGTGATTTGAGACCATACTCCCAAGCATTTTTAGCCTGACCTGCTGTGTGACTGCTACCGCAAAGTTGCTCTTAAGCCATCTTATGTCTTAGGGTTCTGCAGTTGACATGGCTCAGATGAGTGGCTCTGCTCCATGGACCATGTGCTCAGGCCGGGGTCACTGCGCTGGGCTGAACAGGGCTAGAACCTCCAAGTTACAGCCAGTGCTGAGAGGTAGTGGCACAGCTGGCCTTGCCAGTCTCAGGCCTCTAAAGAAGGTGTGTGGTGCAGGGTTCCTGGAATAGAAAAGCAGAAGCTGCTGGTGCCCAAGGCCTAGACCTTGAGCTAGCCCAGCCTCAGCTGGGCCCCAACCTCTTGGTTAAGCAAGTCACAGGGAAGCCGGGTGCAGGTGAGAGGGGCCGCACAAGGCTAGGAGCACTGGGTGGCCTGGTTTTGGGGGACTGGGCTGTTTTTGGAGATGAGCCACACCTGACAGTTTCACCAGACGTAACATATTTTCCTTGTCCTGAATAATCTGTAGTGTGAACCATAAGGTTGTTAAGATTTCCACTACTGTAACGAGCATGACTCCACATCGCTCTTTTGAACTTCGCTTGTACTTTTATGAGACGCTCTATGCTAGCTCTATTTGGGGTGCATTTGCTATTTGTGCGATTCTTGGAGCCCCCTGACAGGCAGGACCTAGGACCAAAGAGGTCAAGTGTCTTAGTTTAGCGTGGTCACTGCTCATTGGTTCCCAGGGTTGCCTCATAAGGCCCTCCCTTCCCCATGGGAAGCTCAGATCTAGCAGTCTGGAGGGGAAGCTCAGACCCTAAAGCACCCCCGATTCTTCTTGATACCAAGTGAGGTGGTGGGGGTGATCCACATTCCAGAGATGCCAGCTGCTCTGGAGCTCTTTCTCCTTCTGAATCCACTCCTGCGTTTCAAGGCTTGTGCGAAGGTCAGGTCGATGAGACTCAGCAAGAAAAATGCAGATTAAGTACTGCAGGACTCCAGAGAGGACAAAGCTATCTCTGAATGTCTCAGAGTAAGAACTAGGGTGGACTGCCCCCATCAAGCTACCCAGGAAGAGAAGATGGCATTGGCCCTGAAAGCTAGGTGGCCCTGCAGGCTGGGTGGCATTTCAGCAGGCAAGGAGGGCAGGATGGGCTCAAGGGATTGAACCTAAAATGGACTTATACAGTTGACTTGCAGCCCAGGTCCCACAATGAAGGCTGCAGGTTGCTCTAGGGAGAGTCTTGCTGGCTGACTAAAGGGCTTGGCCCTCGTCCTGTGGATGAAGGGAACAGTGCTGAGCAGCATGGTGTCGTGATCCTACCCCAAGGCCTCACAAACTGCAACAAGGTAGGTCTTTCTGCATGCAGGCTGTGACATGAGGCATGCAGGCATGTGAGCCTGGGCTGCAGCTCAGACTGCATTTCAGCCAGCTCTGGAAAATGCCCAGCCTCTTGGAGGCAGGGACGCTGGGGACAGCACTCAGAGGGCCAGCAATGGGGTGGCAGTGAATAGGAGGCAAGGGATAACATGGAGAATGGAGGAAACTCCTCAGCATCTCTCGCCCATTTCCACCCCGGAAGCCCGTCAGCCACCTGTCCCTGTGGGCACGGGTTAGCCACCCAGTGTCTGCTTTGAAGCTCCAATTAGCCCCCTCCCCAGCTGGCACTAGAGACGGCCATCCAGGCCTTCTGGCCACCTCCCGCCTGTCTCCTGGCCCTCGTGGTGAAGAACAAAATGTAGTGATTGTGTGTATGGTGCTAATGACTAAATGAGGTGGCTGAGGCCTTTGGCTGTCAAAGCCAAGGACCAGTCTTTGGAGAGAAAGTGAAGGCGGGGATGGAGCAGGTGGGGTACCCACAATGAGGGCAGTTAGATGAACAGTGAGCTGATCCTGCAAAGAAGCTGCTGCCGAGTCTTGGGAAGGCACAGCCAAGATGGGTAATTACAAGAAGAGCCAAGTACTGAATCCTATGTGCAAAGGAGCTGCACAGACAACTTAGCGTGACCCTGACGTTCATGATGAGGACCTGGTCCAGCGGCCAGACCTCTCCTGCAATTCTCCCTCTGGCCTGCAGAGGGAGCTACAGGCTGCCGCAGCGCACAGCTCCCAGGCGTGGTTGGGTCACCTGCTGGGTGAGATTAACATTCCAGAGCCAAATCCGCTCCCGGTGCTGTCTGCTCTTGGCTCATCCAGGCGGAGGCGACAGCTGCCATCAGGCGGGGAAGAGAGGTGGGAGCGAATAAGGAAGGCTGTGGTAACCAGCTTCTGGGTCTGGTGGGTTGGGAAGCAGGGCCTGGAGCTTCAAAGTCAGCGGGGACCCCCTCAAGAGAAGCAAGATTGTACCTGGTGATGATTTAACCAGGCAACCTGCACTGCAGGCTTGAGTCTGCAGCAGCTCCTCCTTCCTGGGGCTGGGGCCTGGTCCATCCTTTGGCCTCTGAGGACAGTGCCTGCCAGACACTGGGCCTGTGGCCTCCTGGTGCTGGCTTCTCTGGAATGGGGATGATCTCCTCAACCCACTTTAAGAGCCTCCACATCCTCCCCTGCTTGCATGTCCTGGCCCCTTCCACTGAACTGCTTGGAGGCAAACTAAATGCTTTCTGCTTTTCCTCCTCTTCACTCTTCTACATCAAGCTCAGTGAGGTCATCCCAGGGCAGGCAGGAGGGAGGGCCAGGTGGGTTGACTGGGAGCTGGCTTGCACCAAGACAGCTGATCTGGTGATGAGATGGAGCCATATCAGACTAATACCCACTCTGCCGTCCCTCCCTGAGGACCCCCTGGCCCCACATGGTAAAGGGGTAACCTCTGGCAGCAGTGTGGGGTCTCTCAAGCCCACTGACCAGTGCCCAAGTGCCTCTGGTGATTATCTTAATACCACCATGGACCAGCATCTTTTGTGAAGAAAAACCAAAGTTCAGGTCAGACATGGTGGCACACGCCTGTAATCTCAGCACTCAGGAGGATGAGGCAAGAAGATGCCTGCAAGTTTGAGTCTAGCCTGGGCTAAATAGTGAGTTCAAGGCCAGCCTGAACTTCACAGCAAGACCCTGTCTCAAAAATCGAAAACAAAACAAGCAAAAAAAAAAAAAAAAAAAAAAAAAAAAAAAAAAAAAAAGAAAAGAAAAAGAAAAAAGAAAGAAAAGAAGAAGTTCAGGAGCCAGACAAAATTACAGACCCGCAGCAGGACACCCACAGAGCTGCCCCCACACAGGCTCAGCCAGAGCAGGGGTCCAAATGCTGGACTTTAGGGCGTCCCCACTGAGTTCACCCACCCCCAACTCTCTAGTAATTGAAATACAAATCACACTAAAAGCTACCCCAAGCCTATTAGATGAGCACACGTGTATTTTATGATTCTCAGTATGGCAGAGGCCTACACAGCACATGCTGATATTTCAAAATAAATGCATACAAAAGGTCTTGAAGGAATAGAGCATGGTACAAACTTCTAGAATTGGGGAGGAAACTGCCTTGGGGATGTGGATTGTGTATAGAGTGCCCTCTGTGTGTGTGTGTGTGTGTGTGTGTGTGTGGTTTTACTGCAGATTGAAGCTGGGGCCTTTACACTGAGCAACATCTCCATATCATTTTGTTTTGAGATGATTTTGCTTAGTCACTAAGTTGCCCAGGCTGGGCTCAAACTTGTGATGTTCCTCCCTCAGCCTCCCAGAATGCTGAGATTACAACATGCACAACCATACCCAGCTGAGTGCTGTCAACTTTTAACTCTATGTACTTTGTGTGACAGGTTAAATTGTGTTCCTGAAAATGCACATGTTGAAGTCCTAAGCCCCAGCAAGTCCCAAACAGGGTCACTGCAGATGAAATTCATGAATATGAAGTCAGGCAGATGTGGGAACGACCCTAATCTGGTGTCCTTATGAAAAGGGGGAATTTGGACAAGACATGTGCACGGAAAACACCATGTGAAGATGAAGACAGGGATGGGGGTGTCACTTCTGTGAGCCAGGGGACACCAAGGATCATCAGCAATACCAAGAGCTGGGCAAAGATGAGAAACAGATTCTCCCCACTGGCCTCGGATGGAACCAATCTGGCCATCACCTTGATTTCGGACTTCTGTGCTCCAGCCCTGCAGGACAACACATTTCTCTTGTTTAAGCCATTTAATTTGTGCTGCTTTGTTACAGCAGCCCCAGCAAATCAATTCATACTGCACAGTTGAATATGGCACAGTGAGAAGTCCCTCCTAATAAGATCAGAATGTGCAGTGGGCATTACTTGTTATGAATCCCATTTTTCATTACTATAACAAAATACCTGGGGCTAGGTAATGTGTAAAGAAAGGAGTTTTGTTAGGTCCGAACTTTGGGAGGCTTATGGTCCAAACAAGAGGGCACTTACTGCATCACATGGTGGTAGCACTATTGTAGAAGTGGTAAAGAGAGGACGAGGTCACATGGTGAGACAGGATGCCTGTGAGGGGAGGTCAGTCTTGCTCTTTTACAGCAACCCTCTCCCTGAAGGAAAAAAAAAAAAATCAGGGTCTCGTGAGAATGACTTTTGTCCCTTCTATGTTAGTCGGTTTTCCATCACTGTGACCAAATGCCTGAGACAAACAACTTAGAGGAGGAAAAGTTTCTTTTGGCTCATGGTTTCAGAGGTTCCAGTCCATGGTCAGCTGGCTCCATCATTCCTGGGCTTGTGGTGAAGTAAAGCATCTGGCAGGAGGGTGTGGCCGAAGAAAGCTGCACACCTCATGGCATCTAGGAAACAGAGTGGGAAAGAGAGGAGAGAGGAAGGGGCCAGAGACAGAACAGCCCCAAGCTCATACCCCACGACCTGCTTCCTTCAAACAGGCCCCACCTCCTGAGTTCCTAGCTCCTCTTCACCATGTCATCAAACTATGATCTGATCAGTAGATTAACCCACTGATGAAGTTAGAGGCTTCATCATCCACTCACTTTCTGAAAGCCCCACCTCTGAACACAGGAGACTGTGGGGGAACATTTTAGACCCAGTGCCCTAATTACCTTATACTCAGGCACCTGTCTGTTACCTGAGTTCGATCCCCAGTACCAAAATAAATAAATAAATAAAAATTTTTTAAAAAAACTTAAAAAAGGGCTGGGGATCCAGCTCAGTGCAAAACCCTGGGCTCAATCCCCAGTAATACAAAATTTAAAAAATAAATAATAAATAATATGACCATGTCCTAATTTCGGCAAGCTGTGAACAGGTAACATTATGCAATAAAAGGGACTTAGTAGATGAGATGAAGGATCTGAGATGGAAAGATTCTCCTAGATTATCTCAGTGGGTCCAGTGCAATCACAAGGGTCATCATGAGAGAGGGAGAGGGTCAGAGTTGGGAAATTATGCAGGCCAGAGAGTGATTCAAAGGTGCTGGATTGCAGGAAAGGGCCAAAGCCTAGCAATGCACACAGCTCTGGGAACTGGAAAAGCAGGGAAACTGACGGCTTCCAGAAGGAACCAGCCCTGTTGACAACTTGATTTCAAAAATTCTGACCTCTAGAACCCTGAGATAATAAAGGTGAGTTGTTTTGAACCACTGATGTGTAGACATTTTGTTACTGCAGCCACTAGAAAATGAGTACCCCCCTCATGGGTGTTTTACAGGTTGTGCCCCCCTTAATTCTCATCACAGTTAGCATCTCCTTTCTCCAGCCCAGGGACTGGATGCCCGCAGAGGTGATGGGCATCAAGATGGTACGGTTTTAGTATGACGTGTCCCCCGGTGACCCATGTATTGAAGTCTTGATCCACAGGACAGTGATGTTCAGAGCTGGGGCATAGAGAGGTGATTGGATCATGAGGGCACTGAGTTCACTGATAGATTAACCTATGGATGAGCTCATGGCCCAAGTGGGCTGTTTGGAGGTGAGGCCCCGCTGGAGGTAGTAGGGCTGTGCCTTTGAAGATATGTCTTATCCCCAACCCCTTCCTCTCTTGGGCTCTTTCCCTCTCACTCTGCTTCCTGGACGCCATGAGAGGGGCTACTTTCCTCTGCCAAGCCACTCTGCTGTGGTGTACTTGCAACGGAGCCAGAAAGACATGGACTAAATCCCTCGAAACCATAAGCTGAAGTATCCTGCTTTAAACTATGTATGCAAGGTATTTTACTAGCAATGGAATAGTGACTAACACAGTTTTAGTGATTTGTCCAAGGTCACATGGGAAGTAAGGGGAGCTGAGATTTGAACCCAAGAAGTCTGCCTTCGGTGTTTTCCCCTTCAACAAAGTGCCTTGCAACTTCAAGGAGCTCAAGGTCACCTCCTAGGCATCCTGGTGGTCCCCAGAGCTCCCTCCATTTCCAGGTGGCCCCTATCTTTTGAAAGTGACTTTTAGAGTCCTTGGATTCCTGACTTACTAAACACTGTGTCTTCTGGGCTTCGCCATAGCTGGGTGGGGGACATGGAAGGTCCTACCAAGCCCCTGCTGGTGATAGCATCTTGGTGGCACTCTACTCGGGATGGGGGCCTGGATGGAGGTAACCAGCCATTCACAGAGGAGCTTATGTACCCTCAGGAAAGCACAGCCCCACTGGGGGCTCTCAGGGGCCTGACAGAGCCAACCCACCCACCTCCCACCCCATGTGTCTGCGTCTGCATCTGACTGTCTGTGGTACTGGGGGCAGGCTGTCCGGTCACCACTGCTCAAACTCACAATCCTCCTGTCACCTGAAAGCTGGGACCTAACCCCTGGAAGTCCTAACACCATGAAGAACCAGTGCCACACCTTGGTTCTTTGTGTCCTTGAGGAAAGGTTTCAGAACAGACATATAGGCCATTGTATAGATTATAGATAGGGCTTACTGCAAAAATGATGGATTTTCAGAGAGAGAGAGAGGAGAATACACCTACAAGCATGACAGCAGGCAATGCCAAGATGGCACCCCAGGCCACATTTTTATGATGAACTGGATCTTTCAAGGAACAACCTCCGCTTCCTCCAAGATCATTATTCCTGTAGGAGGAAGTGGGCTGTGTTGACCCTTCCGTCCTGATTACTCCCTAGGTGGAAGGTTCCTGTTTAGTTTGTTGACCCCTGAGGTTGTCCCAGACCCGTCTGGATTTTGTACAGGCCCTGGCCCTTTTCAGCACAGGCAGAGGAAGCTCCAGCCTCCGGGACTAAAGTTTGAAGCCCCAGTCTTGTGTGAATTGGATCTCTAGTTAACGATGAAGGAAGCAAAGAAAAGGGGGGAAAGTTCTGTTTTCTTTGCTTTTCAAGTAGCCTCAGGCCTGTCTCTGGGCCTGTTGTCTTGCTTTCTGCCCAGTGCTCCTGCCTCACCTTCCCAGGGTTCTGGGACGACAGGTGTGTACCACAGCCCTGTTCTTTGCCCATCCTAGAGCCATGTCACACTCACCCCACCAATCATCCCTGGCCCAGAGCCCTCAGGGCCTCGTTCGCCTCAGTCTCCGGGGCCAGTGGGACCCACTCTGGTCAGCCAGGGCAAGCCCCTCTCCTTTGCTGTCTAGCTCTCCCAAGAGTCCCCAGCTGGCCTGGTCCCTCTCAGGACGGGCCATGCCCAGCCAGGGTTCCCTGTCCCCCTGACCTCAACCCTATCATAATGTATGGTCCCCTCCTCCCTAAGCTGCCAGCCTCACTGCAATCCCACCTCACCATCTAAAAATAGCTCCTCTCAGCCCTGTGCACGTCTTCCAGGCTCCTGCTGGTTTCATTATTCTCCTAGCCGGCTGGGCGCCAGAGCCAGGCGGGCCCAGGTCAATAATGAGATTAACTCTGCTCCAGCCAGGAGGTGGCAGGGCAGGATGGGTAGGGGACCGGAAGTGTTCCTTTCACAGGCAGGGGTGACTCTGTGTGTGTGTTAAGTGTGTGTGTTGTGTACGTGTAAATGTGTGATGTATGTGGTATGTGTGTATGTGGTGTTCCTGTGCCTGTATGTGCTATGCGGTGTCGACCTGTGTGTGGTGTGTGTGATATGATAGTATGTGTGTGTCGTGTCTATGTTTGGTGTATGGTGTGTGTGTGTGTGGTATATATGTATGTGTTCATACATGCATGATACCTCTCTGTCTGTGTATTTGCTATGTGCATGGGTGTTCTGTCAGCTTCCTGTCACTATGATAAAATACCTGAGACCATCAACTTATAAAGAGAAAAGGTTTATTCTGGCTCACAGTTTTGGAGGTTCCAGCCCATGGTCAGGTGTCTCCATGGCTCTGGGTCTCTGGCAATAGCTGTACATCATGGCAGGAGCAAGTGGCAAAGAAAACCACTTACCTCATGAGCCAGAAACTGAAAATCCAGAGAGGAAGAGGTAGAGACCGGGACCTCACAGTCTCCTTTAGGGTCCTTCCAGTGACCCTAGGACCCCTAGGAACTACTTGAGGGCTCTACCACCTGCCTGTGGTGCCATGCTAAGGACCATACCTGTCACACACAGGCTTGGGGACACTTGTCCAGGCCACAGCAGACAAGGTGTGTCTGATGGGCACTGTGTGTATGGTGCTCACATGGTGCATATGTGCTGTGTCCTTGGGGGTGGTGGGGGCCTGAATGGTGAGGTGGCCCCAGAAGCTGTGTTAGTAGTCACCCATATACTCCAGGCTGGTTGGGACTTGGGTCAAAGACCTGGCTCAGGAGAGAGAGAGACAGATGGGACCCTCGAGTTCATGCTGCTCTCACCTGTTCAGAGCAAACCCTAGAGGTGACCATGCAGAAAGCATCTTGTGGCACCTCCCAGCTTCGCAGGAGGCCTCTGAGGAAGGCCACTCACCCTGTGAAGGAAATTTGACCGCCATCAGAATAAAAATGGAGTCACTTGTGACAATCCTAACAAAAAGCAGATAAAGCCAGGTGGATAGGAAGGAAGGGCTGCTGGCTTGTGCCAGAACCACAAGCCTGCATGGAGGCCATCACAACCTTAAACAAAAGTTCCACAAGGACATCTGCCCAGCAACCATCTGCTCAACCTTGGACTGATGACACTCTTGTCATTAATCACTGTGGCCTCAGACTATTGCTTCAAAATATCCCATGAAATCCTCATTTTCCCCCTTGCCTCACCCTCTTTGAATAGATCCGTGGTTCACTCTGACACATGTGTTCCCATTGCAATACTCTGCCTCAATAGCATTTTTAAAAGGTGGTACTAGAAACTGAACCCAGGGTCTTTGCACAGATCCGCATCCTCAGCCCTTTTATTTTTTGAGACAGGGGCTTGGTAAATTGACCAGGCTGGGCTCTAACTCGGGATCCTCCCGTCTCAGCCTCCAGACTTCTGGAATTACAAGTGTGCACCACCACACCTAGCTAATAACATATTCTTTTATCCCAAAGTGCCCTTCTCAGGTGGTTTTCTGTTTGGGAGCCCACTGGGCCTGCTGTGAGGCAGGGACAATTAGTGAACAGAACTTCAGGGTCAGAAGGGGCCTGGCCTTCCCTGACACCCTGGATCACTGCTGAGCCCTGAACAGGGTCAGTAGCTTGGCATTGGAGGGGATGGGACAGTCCCAGCAGCCACAGGGAGGGGACATGGACTCAATGCTGGAATGTTCTGGCCACAGAGCAGAGGGAACTAGGCCAGGCCCCTCCACATAGGCACATCTCTTCAGAAGTGCTCCACACCAGCATATGGGACCATCCACATCCCAGCTGGCACTGCTTAGGACAAGGCTTAGTCAGGTGTGGTGGTGCACACCTGTACTCCCAGCCCCTTGGGAGGCTGAGGCAGGAGGACTGCAAGTATAAGCCCAGCCTGGGCAACTTAGCAAGATGCTCTCTCAAAATGTTTAAAGGGCTAAGGATGTAGTTCAGTGAAATGTCCTGGGTTCAATCCCCAGTATCACAAAAGAGGGAGGAGGAGTGGGGAAGGAAACAGAAACAGAAGAAGAAGAAGGGGAAACTGCTGCCTGCTTCACAAGCACAAGGTCCTGAGTTCGATCCCCAGTACCAAGTGAAGAAGAAGGGGGGGAGGGGAAGAAGAAGGGGGGAGGGCGAGGGGAGGAAGAAAATATCAAGGTTCAGAGCAAATATGAATAGCTGCAAGGAGTTAAAGCACATAGCTACACAGAAGGCACTGGGTGGAGCAAAAACTGAGACAGAACATGAATTATCAAAGCTGCATTATTAACGGCACCGTGCTGTTATGAATCTGACTTCACACTTCCAGTACAGGATGGCCTTCCAGAGGGAGGAGTCCAGTGGGGCCGGAGTAATCCAGGCCATCCTGAAAGATGCCCTCATGGAGAGCCAAGAAGTCAGCTTACCCCAGAGCCCATAATTTCTTTCTTTTTTTTTTTTTTTTTTTTTTTTTTGAGCTGGGGGTTGAAACCAGGCTCTTCACACTGAGCTACATCCTCAGTGCTTTATCTTTTTTTTTGGTACCAGGGACCGAACTTGGGATCTTGCACTTTCGAGGCAGGTGGCAGAACCACTGAGCCAAATCCCTGACTTCATTTTTAAATTTTGAGACAGAGTCTAGCTAAATGGCTAAGTTACCTCGGACTTGAATTTCGATCCTCCTTGCCTCAGCCTCCCAGAATGCCAGGATATAGGCATGTGTCACCACACCCAGCCAGATCCCAGACTTTTGCCCCTTATTCTCCTTCTGAGGATTCTGAGCGAATTATTTAACCTCTCTGCACTAGTGAAACAGAAAGGGTAATTCCCATTCCCAGGCTTGCTAAGATTAATTACCCAAAGCACACAGTTACCGTAGGTACTCAATAAATGAAGACTCTTTGTGATTTTCCTCCCATGGAGACCAGGGTCTTCAGTGCTGAGAGGAAGGCACGGCCAGGCAAGGGAAGGAAGGGGCCCTCGAGGAGGGGCGCAGAAGATGAAGAGCCAGGAATCCCGGGACAGCAAGTGGAGCAACGGACCAGGACTGTGCTGCCGCCTTCAGGCCTCTGAGCTGGCCTTTGTCTGAGCTGGCCTTTGACTCCTGGAATGAATTCTGCCTCTCAGATCCTGGAGAAGCCCTTAGGGCAAGGCGGGCTGGGACAAGGGGCCCTGCAGCCCTGTGAGTGACTGGAGGCTTTGGGTAGCACAGAATTCAATGCACCGTACAGGACTCTTGCATGCGCAGGGGGCCCCAGCTCTCCCCGTCCCACCCAAGCCTTGCACCCTCTCCCCAGAATTCTGAGCAGGCAGGCCCAGGGTGCAGTCCGGGGACCCTTGAACTGCCAGAGGCTCTGCTGCCACCCCCATCCAGCAAATCCTAGTGGCCTCTCACAGGTCCCGGCAAGGTGTACTTGCCGTTCATCCTCACACCAAAGCTGGGCTTCCTACAGCTCAGGCAGGGCCTCTGGACAGTCAGGGAAGGCATGGTGAGAAGATGGGGCCAGGCTAGCACCCCACAAAGGTACCCTCTGTCAATCTGCTCCCATCTCTGGGTACCTGGGGCTCCATCAGTGTGGCTGCGGCAGCTCTGTCTGTCCCAGGGTCCAGGTGTGGGTGGGCACAGTTGTGCATGGATACTCACATGCGAGGGCGTGTTTATGTAAGAGTACGTGCTGTGCATAGGGGGACCCCATCGGATGTAGTATGGCTCGGATTTGGTGGATCACAAGGGAAAAGGATGTAGACGTTCCTGGGGCTTGCAGTGTAGAGGAGCGGATAGAACAGGTGGATCATGGGGCCATGTGTGTGAGACTGTGCATGTGGCTTTGAGATGAGACTCATGTCAGGAGTGTGCGTGTGTGTGTGTGTGTGTGTGTGTGTGTGTGCAAGCGCGTGCACTGAGACTGAACGTGTGCAGTAGATTCAGGTGTTGAATCTGTTCTGCTGGCAGACGGGTGCTGGAGAAGAAACTGGGTCACCTCCTAGGCAGCCTCAGCTGCCACCGCTCCCCACCTGCCCTGTCCTCGGTGCAGACATGTGGGCCTGAGCGTGTGAGTGTTCCACGCCTCCGAGGAGGGATCACTGCTGGCTTGTGATGGCTGAGGGATCCAGGACAGCGACCTGGACACAGGAGGGGCCCAGTATGGGACTTCGGGGTGCAGACATGCAGGTGACGGCCCAGGGGACCTGCCCAGGGAGGACAGAGAGGTCCGAGCCCCAGCCACAGGGGAAGGACCAGGGCCAACCTCTGCCCTCTGCTCAACATTCCTTTGTCCCTATGCTGCTTCTCACACCTTCTCTCTGCCCTAACTTTCCCTCTTCAGGACATTTTAAAACTTAACTAATTAACTAACTAATTAATTTTGGTGGCACTGACGACTGAACTTGGGGCCTTCACACTGAGCTACAGCCCCAGACCTTTTTTCAATTTTTTTATGTTTGAGACAGAGCCTTGCTAAGTCACTAAGTTACCCAGGCAGCACTCACACTTTGAGTCTTCCTGCCTCAATTTTCCAGAGTGCGGGGAGTATAGACATGCACAGGCATGTCTATCTTTGAATTTTTTTTAATTGAGAAACAATGTACACACAGAAAGTGTAGAGATCACACTTTCACAGCTGAATGGATTATCACTGACTGAGCACACCCATGTGCCCAGCACCCACACCGAGACAAAACATCCGCCATCTTGTCATCTTCCCTGAGGATAGCCTTGTCACACCATAGATGAGTGTATCTGTGGTCACTTTTTACTCCAATGCCTGAGTCCCTGCCCCAAGCCAGGAGCAACTTTAACTCTCCCCTGGGAGATGGGAGATGGAGAGGAATCCATAAGGTGAGGAGCCTGTTCCCAAGGCTGGCAGGCAAAGGATGGAAGTCACAGATGCCTGGCAGGGTCATCACAGCCCCCATCTGATGGATTTCTGGCCAAGTTCCCTGGCTCAAGGCTGGGAGGACCTCAGCCCAGACACAGCTTGATGAGAAATAATTCACTTCTGTGTGCCAGGCGTGGTGATGCTCAGCTGTAATCCCAGCATTTGGGAGGCTGATGCAGGAGAATCCCCGAGTTCAAGGGTCTGAGCTACATAGTGAGTAGTGAGTCTAAGGGCAGCCTGAACTAATAGCAAAAACTGCCTCAAAAAGGGGGCGGCTCGGGATTTTAGCTCAGTGGTGCTGCCTCACAAGCAGAGGGTCCTGAGTTTGATCCCTGATACCAAAAACAACAACAAACAGACAAACAAACAGAAAATCACTTCTCTCTGTGTGTGTGCATGCGTGCCTGTCAGGGCAAATTAGCTGCTACAACAAATAAACCCCAAAATTTCAGGGATATATTCCAATTTTTCCAGTACTGCGAATCAAACCCAGGGGCATTCTACCACTGAGCTATGGCCTAGGCTCTTTGTATTTTTATGTTGAAACAGGGTCTCACTAAGTTGCCTAAACTGGGCTCAATCTTATAATTGCCCAGCCTCAACCCCCCCAAGTGCTGGGATTACAGTTGTGCACCACCATGGCTGGCTCCAACTTATTATTTCTCATTTTCTAGCAGTCCCGGTGGACAGGCAGCTCGACTTGGTGGGACGATTCAGGGGCCAGCCTCCTAGGGTCGTGTGGTCCATGGAAGAAGAGAGCAGAGAGGGCTCACATGCCTGTTGGGTGGCTTCTCCAGGAAGAGGTCACCTCTGCTTCCGTTGCTTGGTGAGATTTTGTCACACGGCCCCATCACGTAGCGCTGGGAGACATAGGCCCTGGACATTCTCGTCACCTTGACAACTCCACACTCAGAACTTTAAGGGGAGGGAGGACATGGTCCCTTTGTCCTGGCAGGTGGAGTTCACTGACTCCATGCTTCATTCATTTACTCACTGGAATGAATTCTCATTCATTCATTCGTTCATTCACTTGCAAATTCATCCAAGAATGTATTCAATTCATTGCCGGGGGCGATTATGGACTGGTGGCTATGGGCAAGCTCTGGGACAGGGGCCCTCCGTGCTCTCATCTGTGAGATGGAACAGTCATGGCCACCTCACAGGATTAGAGGTCGCTGGAATACAGTGCTTCTCAAAGACATCACCTTCCGGCCCAGGCTGGGAAAGGCCTGAGTCAGTCAGGACTTGATCCCTAGGATGATCCGAGGCCCTGGATGGGGCTGAACCACTGGGAGGGTGAAAGGCTTCCTTGGGGGAGGAGGGAGGCCCACATAAAGCTCTAAGGCAGAAGCTCGCAGAGCCCACAGCCTCTGCATGTAGCCCCCTCCCCTCCTATCCACCCCTAGACTCCATTCCTTGATCCTGGGGATCCGAAGCCTTCCAGACCTTCTAATGAAATCAATTCTTAATCCAGGGCCTGGCACTTCTGATGGAGTCACAGGAGGAGAGGAGGAGGGACAGGAGTGCAGGGGAGGCAAGCAGGGGAGCCTGCGCCTCTGCTCATTTTTTATTAAAGATCTGCTTCAAGGTCAGCCCTGCCTGCTTGCCACAAGGGACTCCTCAATTTCCCAGGCTGTGCAGAGAGAGCAGTGTGCTGGGAGGAGGGGCAGGAAATGGAGGGGAGAGGCCGGGGCGCCACGCAGAGAGGGGTGCAAAGAGGAAGAGGTGGTGTGATCCCTGGTGGTACACAAATAGTCTGTGCTCAGAAGGGCACTGGGAATTGTTGGGGGAGCAAGGAGGCAAATGGAAGGTGAAAGGGGGACAGGCTCAGATCTGGGCAGGGGAGGGACTCGGGGTCCAGTGTTGTCACTCTGGATATCAGACATCAAATTACCCCTGGCCCTTAACCCACATCCAGCCCTTCCAAGTGCTGTCCCGCTGCTAATGCTTAGAAAAACAGTCCTCACTCAGCACCTCCTAACAGCCAGAGACAGGTATTATCAGGCTTATTCGACAGAAGAGGAAACTGAGGCTCAGTGGAGCTTAAATGACTGGCCCAAGTCCACTCAGCTAGTAAGTAGTGAATCTGGACTTATGGCCTGGGTCTGACTCCAAGCCCTACAACCTTGATACATCCTCCCACCCTGCGGACCTGCCCGGGACTCTCCCTGCAGGGGGACCTCTGAGATTGCTCCTGCGGAACATTTTAGGGTCTTGCCCCATCTCCATCCCACTTGCATAGAGAAGACAATGGCCATGCCTTCCCAAGCCCATGGCCAGACTTTATGTTTTTGCCACTGGGAACTGAACCCAGGGCCTTTGCACTGAGCTACTTTATGCCACTTTTATGTTTTATTTTGAGACAAGGTCTCACTAAGTCAACCAGCCTGGGCTCAAACTTGTGATCCTCCTGTCTCAGCCTCCCAGAGTGCTGGGATTACAGTTATGCACCACCACATCCAGCTTCACTCATTCATTTTTGCCAGCAAATCCAGGTGGCCTCAGGCTGTGAGCTCTTGTGTATGTGAGCTGGGTGGCTTTGCACAAAGTCTACCAGCATAGAAGTTCAAGGGATTATTTTTGTCTTTTGGGCCATTCTGTCGAGTGAAATTAGGATCAAGCAGTAATTCAACACCTACCGTGTGCCCCTCGCAGGGTCTTTGGCAAACACACACTGGCAGCTCAGGGTTGAACCTGCCATGGTCCTGCCTCACACACGTGTGCCCACAAGAGTGTCTGTGGGGAGGGGGAGGAATGACAGGGATTGGCCAGTGATCACGGGTGAGCTTGACAACACCGTGCCTGTAGTGGGCGCAACAATCAGTGCACCGGGCTCACCGGAAGCGGAAGAAGAGCTGGGACCGGAAGCAGGCGCTCTGGGGCACATGTGCAGGGGCAGGTCTACAGCCAAGAATAAGACTCCATAGGTGCAATGGGCTACACAACCACTGCCTCAGTCAGTTTCTGTTGCTGTAACAGAATAATGAGACTGGGAGATTGACAAAGAATAGAGGTTAGCCAGGCATGGTGGTGCATACCTGTTATCCCAACACTCTGGAAGGCTGAGGCAGGAAGGTCACAAGTTTGAGCCTAGCCTAGGCAACTCAGTTACTTAGTGAGATCTGTCGCACAATTTGAAAAATGTGCTGGGAATGTAGCTCAGTGCAAAAGGCCTGGGTTCAATCTCCAGTACCTGTTTTCTTTTAAAAAGATAAACTGTTATCTG